AGCAGCAACAGCAGCAGCAGCAGCAGCAGCAGCAGCAGCAGCAGCACCAACAGCAGCAGCAGCAGCACCAACAGCAGCAGCAGCAGCAGCAACGGGAAGGGAGAGGAGCCACGTGGCTTGCCTGAAACTGACGGACACGCCCAGAACCTGCTCATTCCTGCTGCTGGTGCTGCTGCTGCTGGTGCTGCTGCTGCTGGTGCTGCTGCTGCTGGTGCTGCTGCTGCTGGTGCTGCTGCTGCTGGCAGCAACTCTTCCGAGCAGTGCTGCTGCAGCGATGCAGCAGCAACAGGCAGCAGCAGCAGCAACAGCAGCAGCAAGCGCATGCAGATACAAGTGGATGTAGTTGAGGACTCTGATGACGAGTCAGACTAATAAATTTGCTGCAGCAGCAGATGCAGCAGCAGTAGCAGCAACAGCAGCAGCAAAGACACTCTACACAAGCAGCAGCAGCAGCAGAGCAGCAGCTACTGCTGCTGCAGCTGCAGCGTCGACGCGGTCACATGGAGGCTACTCTAGCAGCAGCAGCAGCAGCAGCGGCAGCTGCAGCAGCAGCAGCGGAAAGACCACCAAATTAAAGCTTCGAGTTGAAGGAATGGCCTTGCTTTTTGAAAACAGCAGCAGCTGCTGCTGTTGCTGCTTCACTAGCTACTTCTGCTGCAGCGATTGCTGCAGCCACGCTGCGGCAGCAGCTGCAGCAGCAGCAGCAGCAGCAGCAGGAGGCCCTCCTTCCTCTTTAAAGACAAATTGATAAATACTTTTGCCCTTCGCGGGATGTGCATACACCTCAAGCAGAAAACAATTGCATGCGCCAAGCCCTAGCCCCAAACCCTAAACCCTAAACCCTAAACCCTAAATATTTAAATCCGCCCCAGTGCTGCTGCTGCTAGGCAGAATGCGTCAGAAGCAACGACAGCTGCTGCTGCTGCAGCAGCAGGCTTTGCTGCTGCAGCTTCTGCCCCTCCAGTAAACTTGCCGAGGGGCAGCGCTGTTCCTGCTGCAGCTGCTGCTGCAGTTGCTGCCATAGTTGCTGCTGCAGTTGCTGCTGCAGTTGCTGCTGCGTTTGCTGCTGCATACGCTGCTGCAGTTGTTGCTGCCTTCTGCTGCAGTTGTTGCTACAGCTGCAGTTGCTACTGCCTTCTGCTGCCGCTGCTGCTTTATTCAGCGCTGCAGTTGCTGCTGCTGGAGTTGCTGCTGCAGTTGCTGCTGCTGCTGTGGTAGTAACGAAGGCAGCTGCAGTGCGATTCTGATACCGTTGCAGACATGGCAGTTGCTGCTGCTGCTGCAGCTGCTGCTGCAGTTGCTGCTGCAGCTGTTGCTGCTGCAGCAGCTGCTGCGGTTGTTGTTGCTGCAGTTGCTGCTGCAGTTGCACCTGCGGGTGGTGGTCAGCTGGGCTGCATGCACCTGCAGCTTCTGCCGCGCCACCTGGCGGCCTCCAAACCCCAAACCCTAAACCCTAAACCCTAAACGCTTTAGGGTTTAGGGTTTCGGGCAGCCGCAGGGGGTCCGGGGTTCACAAGTCTCCGTCGCTGCGGATTTGAATCGCGACTGCGCCGTCGGTGCGCCTGCGGCTGCTGCTGCCACCCTGCTGCTGCTGCTGCTGCTGCTGCTGCTGCTGCTGCTTGCTGAGGAGGGCCTGGCGCTCCCTGTCGCGCAGCTGCTGCGCCTCCGCCAGGAAAGCCTCTGCGTCGTACTCGGCCTGGAGGTCAGCAGCAGCTTTTAAGCAGCAAAGAGACACAAGAGACACAAAAAGGAGGCAGCAAGAAAGCAAAAGAAGTGCAGCAGGAGAAGCAGCAAGAGGCGCGGCCCAGAAGGGCTGCGCGCGGCCAGCGCTGCGGTGTCTGTACACCGCAAACGCCCCGAGCAACCCCCCCAGCAGCAGCACCACCAGGTGCAGCAGCAGCAGCAGCACGACGCTGCCCCGCAGCGCAGCATCCAGCCGCAGCAGCACGCCCAGCAGCCCCACAGTTCCTGCTGCTAGACACAAGCCCGCGAAGACGCAGCAGCAAACGGCCAGCAGCGGGCTGCTGCGCAGCGGCGCGCCCTGCTGCTGCAGCAGCAGCAGCAGCAGCAGCACGCCGTACCCCACAGGCACGGCGAACAGCAGCGACGCGCGCAGCCGCAGCGGCAGACACCCGCAGCAGCCGCCCCCGCAGCCCTTCATCTTCTGCTGCTGCTGCTGCTGCTGCTGCTGCGGAGGCGCGGGCGGAGGCTACGGCGGGCGACGGCGCGGGGCTGCAGCAGCTGCTGCTGCAGCGGCCGCAGGAAACGGGAGAGCTCGGGCGGCTGC